ACATATGTCATAAGTTCTATTGATTCAGTCATACCTTTAGCTTAATACGACTAAAGTTTTCAAAACAGTTTACAAATAAAATTAGTAGATTTGTCCATCTAATAGTTCACTACTGCAATACTTTGATACTAGTGATTAATATTAATCGTTTATTTTCAACCTTTAAACCTCCATTGTTTATCTTTTATATTTATATCCAAACTGCTTAATTTTAACCTTTGAACCCAAAATTTTAAACAATTTTGATTTCATATACAATAAATAGCCATAAGTTTACAAAGAATGTGTAATTACGATACTGTCAGCGTTTGTTTAAAAAAAGTCATTGAGTGAATTTTTTGCATCATTTTGTGATAAAAGTATAATATTTTCATATTCATAATGATATTGATTACTTTGTGATACACTTGTGATAAGTTCTATTTGCATGTTAATTTTCACTGACAAAAAAGAGTAAACGTGAACTATTTTAGCAAATATTACAAGCTAAATTATGATTTTGAACAGAGGCAAGCGTTAATTCAGTTTATTGTAATGACTTTTTTCCATTATTAATAATGATATTAGTCTGTAAAAATTTAAGGTAAGACAGATATTAGTAGTGAAGATTTAGTCTCATAGTAATAATAACGGTAATATTAAATTGTAATAAAAATAATACAATTAGATGCTAGAGCTAAGCAGTCTTTCAAAATAAAATGAAGAGAAGGAGCATTTTGTTACAAACAGCTGCAGACCAGCTGTTGCTCAGGTTCAAATATCACTAACATTCATTTATTTACTTCACCGTTTCCAACTATTTCTTCCCCCTTTGCAATTTACCTTCCGACAGATTATACTCTAAAATTATGCTCAATTTCAAGTGACAAAAAGGTTCAAAGTTCAAGGCATATTCGAACTGTCATAAAAATAAGCATTCCATTTGATAATTTATTCAGTGATATCAGTTTTTACAACTAACAGTAAAATATATTTTGAGAAAGAGAAGAGAAATTATGCAATTTCATAAGTAATCGCATGAATAACAGAGTTAGCTATGTGTAAATAACTTTCTTTTTTACTTTAAATAAATAAAAATAAAGTCAAAGTTTTAGAGCATAAGCTCATGAAGTGCAATTATTTGTATGGCTTTTTACTGCATAAATTAAAATTACTTACAAAAAATTTGCATAAAATTGTAAAAAAAAGATGAATGTAGACAGTTTTATTGCTACTTATTCAGAAACTAATAAAACTGTCTGGATTCTAAATCTGTCTTTTTCTTAAATTTATATGATAGCTTAGTTTTATTACGATTACAAAAGCTATTTCGAGTAGCTTTTCGCAGATGGCTAGTTGTGACAATGATAATTTAATATGCTAGCTTCGCATAATAATACTATAAAAAGTGAATAGAATATTGCTGCTATATATTATTATATTTAATTACGGGGAAGTAAGGGAAATTATATAATTGTATTTTTTGGTAAAAGTATGCTTTTATGCTAATTTAAGAAATCTGTGATTAAAAGCAAAAGTTGTTGCTCATTTTCGTTGCTTTAGTCTAACTGAACTATACAAAGTTAATTAATTACTTTAACTTTTCAAACAAAAAGTATTATGCCTTTATTTCTCAAATGCTAGTTGAATATTTAGTTTCTGAGATAAGTTGTTAAACTTTATTCACTTTAAATAAACTACTCATTTATTTCATGCTGATTGATTAGTCTATCAGTCGAAAAATATTCAATCTAGTTTAGTCTTAAAAATATTCGTTCAACAATCAGCTCTGTCAAAATATGCACAATCCTTTTACTTCACAACTTTTATACTTATACAAAATAAACTTCTCTTAGTTCTGAGTCTAGTAACTAGCTGGAATTAGTTCTTCTTCACTTCGAAACTTGTGCTATACTTAACGAGCAGCCCAACTTGTAGTTAACAGATAAACACTAATAAAGTAGTTGCTTGAAGATTGTATTGTGTTTTTGATTCACACACTATGATTCTTTGGTAATTTTTTTGTTTCACTGCAATTAGTAATGAATACAAATGCCAGTTTATCGATTCAGTCACCTTACTCAGAATAAAAGTTAATGCTATAAACTTATTCAAATTGTATTTAGTGAAATTATTTTTTTTGTCAGTAATTTTGCACGGTTTTCAATTCTTATCTGATAATAAGTAGTGAAACTTTGATTTTTAATAGAATATAAGGGGAAAGATTGATTAATTGATCCATTGATTGATTGAATAATTTACTTATCGTAAAAATCCCGACTGATGGAATGACTAATAGGTCAAAGTTCGTTGAAACTCTAATATTTCCTCCCATCTTATTCCATCCAATCAGGAAGGATTTGTTGCATATTTTCTCCTCCTTCTACTTTCATTTCATCTACAATTTCGCTTCCGTCTCATTCTTGTTTGTGTTAATCTACTAGCCCAAGCAGTTGTTCCACTCTTTTACTGAGCTTTAGTTGCAGTCTGCCTCCTTTACTGCCATCACTGATATTAATATTATTATTATTATCATCATCATAACTACTATCGCAGTTATTACTCTTGTAATTGACCTTTACTCCTTTTTTTGTCTAAAAATAATACATATTCTGTAACAATTGAAAACCTGAAAAAAGGCTGTGTAGCGTTCAGCTTACTCGGTTGGTTGTAAGATGTTTCAAGGATCAATATTTAGTCCATCACAACCTCCTTGAGTAAGTTGATCGCTTGCTTGACCTTTAAACTTCAACCTCCTTACCTTTTATGAAATACTTCTTTGCTACCTTGCCAAATTATTAAAGTTCTGTTTACTGAAGTGACCATCATAAACAAGGATTCAACCACTTTTTCAATTAAAGTTTGTGTGATTTTTAACCATTTTTTGTCAAAAGATTATTCAGATTTGAGCATGCAAATGCTGTGATTATATATGTATGTATAGGAAAGTTTGTTCTAAATATGGCATAAACTTTGAAATCGATGTACAGTCTCAATTATTCAAAAAATATTACGGAAAGTTAATTGAAATATTCAGTTTCGTATATAAATTGATAAATCCCATCTGCGCCAACTCTGCTCACTTCACTCTTAAATCTACCAAATAAGTAATCTTTGCGTATTAAAAAAGTAAAATTCACTACTTTTTCAGCTAGTTTTTTCCCATCACAAATATTCATATTTATCAAAAATGTGAATCGTTAATTATATCAATCCGTTGATCAAATAAGTGATATTATTGAGCTTAATCACTTATGTAGTTGGTGAATTGATTAATCATGGTTGTAATTTATTAGAACTTCTGTAGGAAATGTGATATTGATCAAAAGCAGCTGAAAGTAATATGAAATTGTACATAATTTTGCAAGATTAGCAGAATATGTGATCGTATTTTCACATTTTCAGACATTCCCAACAAATTTCCTTTATCATAATAGAAAGTATTAATTGTCATAAAGATCACTACAGTAATTTCTTTCTTTTGTTGTAATATAAAAGTGTTAACTGTCATAGTAATTACTGCCGTTTGTAGTGTGGATAATCCATCACGAAGTATACCTGATTTGGGTACTGTACGGCGTGAAATTAATGAAGCAATTAATATATGGGAAAGTGTGCTACCAATAAAATTTCATGAAGTACGATCAGAAGCAGAAGCAGACGTAAAAATTAAATTTGCAATTGGTGATCATGGTGATCCATATCCTTTTGATGGAAGTGGTAGGATTCTAGCACATGCATTTCCACCTGGCAGTGGCATCGGTGGAGATATCCATTTAGATGATGATGAACGTTGGACTGTATCACTTACGGGTGACCCATACCACTACCGTAAGCTATGCTTTTTTAATATCTGTTGTAAGAATTACTGTAAGCCATTTTTTAAATTTATTTCCAAATTCGAAATTGTAGCAATAAATTTTTGCATTAAAACTCATTATTATTTAAGACTAAAAATGAAATTTTAACAAAGATATGTCAACAATTTTCGTGGTGAGTCTAATTCTCAGATTCAGTCTGACTTTAAATTGAACTCTCATTTTTTTATCTACTACCATCATGTGTAGATTTTATGTTGTAGAGCATTTTATCGTGCATAAACTAAGACCTAATGGTCACTATTGATATAAACGAAAGATTGAAACCCTAACTATATGTATTAGTTGTGAGTAACTGTGTACTTTGCAACAGTTTACTTATGCATATGACATTATTTATGAACTTTTTGCCGCAATTACATCATTTTTGTAAGTAATTGTTGTATACTAAATCTAAAAGTGTTAATTTAAGAAGTTTCAGAAGTGAGTCTTCGTTCAATAGTAACACATGAATTTGGCCATAGCATGGGCTTATCACATTCTCATGATGAAGACAGTGTTATGTATGCTTTTTATCAGTACGATTTAGTGCCAAAGCTTTCCTACGATGATTTACTAGCTGTTCATACTCTCTATGGTGGTAAATTAATCTCACTTTTACAACTTAAATCTTTTTGAATAAATGAATATTTTTACGTTCAATTGAAATTTATGAATGATGTACAATACTGTGTGGTAATTTTCAAAATTGGTTTGTCTAATCAGTTTTGAGTAAGAAAGTAACTTCTTATCAGAATTATAAAACGGTAAAATAAATTATAGTACTCTTTTTGTTTTATAATCTTTTCAATTAATTTTACAAGAAAAAATATCAGAGAAAAAAATTAATATAATTAATTAACAATGTCAATAATAACTAGGAAATAGTAATGGTGATGAACGAACAAATCCACGAGTGACCATTGATCATCAGCGTACATCGACAACCACAGAGATGCCGCCAATTCTACCAGAAGTACCAGATAAAGAATCTTCAGATAGATATGATACAACTGTTCACCCTGATACCAATCCTTGGCAACCTTTTCTTAAACCAGACCCTTGCAATTCTGAATATGATGCAGTCGCTTCAATACGACACGAGATTTTTGTTTTTAAAGTTTCTAGCAATTTCATCTTTTGTTTTATCTAAATTTTTTTTTTGCTTACAACCTGTTTATATTTCTAAATCCAAGCAGATTCAACAAAAACATATTACTAGCATTAAAAATTATCTTAAAAAAAATAAATGCTAATGGGCATTTCCATTGAAATTCACATGCTCATCAGTATAACACCTTCAATCCCTTTGTTTGAGAGGGAAATTTTGTGGCAATTTTCAGTCTATAAATTAAATTCAGTAAAATAAAAAAGCAATACAAGTCAGTTTTTGTATTAAATATCATTTTACTATATCTTAAATATACTTTCATCTAGAATGAGTGGTTTTGGCGTGTACACCAGGATGGCACTCTCAGTCAAAGTCCACATTTAATAACTTCTCTGTGGAAAGAAGCTAAATGGCCTGTTGATGCTGCAGTAGAAAGCAACCATCAGATATTTCTGTTCGCTGGTATGATTGAACTTATAAATGGATACCAATTACATTTCAGGGAATATAAGTACTGCAGACATATTTTATCCATCAGTCCTCACAATTTTTTAAGTAAAATGCATTATTCTTCTATTATTACCATGTGGTTAAAATATTTCACTAGATGAAATACATTTGTGGGAGATAGAGATCAGATCAAATCAGTAAGTGCTTGACGATGTTGTTAACTGTATGAGTATGTTTCTTTAATTCTTCATTAAACTATACAGTAATATTATAGTACCTATGGTAGCAACATTATGAATATTGTAAAATACTATAATATCATACTGCCGTTATTCACCAAATTTAACTGATAGTAATCACTAGTACAGTAATTAATTTGATTTAAATATCTGGTCTCTACCGCAGTCTGATTACAGGTAAAGATATTTACATATTCAATGGTCGTAAACTTGTATCCAAGAAAAAACTCACCGACTTGGGTTTACCTGCATCAATTCAGCGTATCCGCTTGGTTTACACGTGGAATTATTGGTCAGAACGACCAATGTACATATGGACCAAAGACGAATTTTGGAGGGTTGATAAAGTAATTATTTAATTCATTAATTAAAAAATGCTTGACTACTTGAACTCTGTAATATTATTTATAGAAATCAGGAAAAGTCGAAATAGGCTATCCACGAAAAATTGCCACAACCTGGCATGGTATACCTGACCAGGCCAGCGCTGCTGTTACCTACAATGATGGTTATTAATTTTCAACTTTTCTTGGAGAGATTTCCTTTCTGTCACATAATTTCTTAATTACATCAATCACATACTTAAGACGTTAGAATGCTTGATAAGAAATATTTGCATCCCAATCTTGTTTTCTAAAATAAGATTCCCAGATAAAATTTCATATACTTGAAAAAATATATGACTGATAGGAACTAATTTTGAGGAAAAATTATTAGTGAAAAAGAAATCATTCAGTAATAAATGTGTAATATATACTAGCCCAACTTTCTTATCGAAATCACTTCAGATTTGTACTTTTTTGGCGAGAATAATGTCTACAAATTTCACACCATTAATATGACATCAGCCCCACCAATCAGTATATCAGAGTTATGGCGCTTTTGTCCCCTCGCTATGCAAATTTCATCCGGTGTGAATGTTAACACTTCATTTGACCCACAATTTACGCTATTCTCCTTACTACTTTTTATATTTATCATTCTCGATTAATTTCCTCAGCACACTGTAAAATACTGGCCTCTACTGACAGACCACTATTCTTTATTACTTATTATTTATTTTTTTATGCCATCAACAGCTCAATTCATCTCATTCCACGTGCAGCTTTTTTCAGTCTCAGTTTGCATCTAATTTGTACTACTTATTGTTCTGATAATCATGAATCTTGTTATGTGTTAAATAATTTATAGTAATCATTTGATTTTTTGCTATACATAGAGTGAACTTGGAATCGTGATTACTGCGAATCATCAATACTACATGCTCCAAAAAATAAAGACACCTCAAAATTTCACAGAAAACGAATGTTGCAGAGACGCGTAGACGACATCCATGCAGCAACTACATCACTAGCTTCCACAAATTAATTACAACTTCGATCCTTTAAAGTTATAAACAACTTAGTTCTAGGAAAGAAAACCTAAACAAATGAAATGGTCTTTCAAAAATGCACTTTTAAGTTTCAAATTACCAATTTCTTAGACCACCAAAAATAGTAAGACTATTTTAATGGCCAACAACTATTGCATTAATGGGCTGTGAAATAACACCAATAGCGTATTTACAAACAATATGAACAAATAAGTACAGCTGAGCAGTCATGCTTTGATCTCGGATGACTGTTGCTCCTGCTGTCTCATTTCGCTGAAATCTGTTGATCCTTTCGTTGTACTACAGATACTGCTTTGACCTCGGTAACTTACTGCATCAAATGTTTGGTTAGAATCACTATCAAATCCTCCCTCAGAAAAACCAGTGTTAGAATCATCATTTAAACTGCTAAAAGCTCGAACTCGTACCACATCGCCGCTCTCTACAATAATATAAAGTCAACAAAAGTTGTAAACTAACAATAACCATGCTTATAATTCTAATCATTAAAAAATCCTCAAATTTCGTATTTCAATGCAGGCTACATAAAAATGAGCCAATTTAACACAGTTAAGATATATAACTTGTTAGAAAACAATATTATCTAAAACTTTTACGGAATAATTTGTGAGAAAATACCTAAAGCAGATGAGTCACGAGTATTTTCTGATGATGGAATTATACTATCATCTTGATCCTGAACTAAAGATTTCACTGGCATTTTCGTAATATTTGCTGTAGCTGTTACTAAAACAAAATATAATAAATTTTCAAATCTTATGCAATCGTCTCAAAATCTAGATAAGCTTACCTGGCACCCATCGGAACAATTTGATCTGCGTATCCTTGACAACAATCCATTTTTTTTCCCTATTAAAATCAATTGAAAAATTGTGTGTGAACATTCTTAAATTCAAAAAATCAGACAGATCTAGAGTGTGTAATACAGAGCAGTTTTCACGTTTTATGTTCAATTTTACGAATACAAGAAATGAAAAGCTCGACTTTAACAAACTTATAGAACAATTAATTGTAATGTAGGCTATAAGACAATGTAAAACAAAAACTTAACTGTATATGTCGAGAAGATCAATCAACTAGGATTAATATCAAAGGTATGACTTGACCTTTATAAGAAGAAATGAAAATGTAAAAATACAAACCATTTGCGAACTTTATCTACCGAGTTAATTACTCGTTTCAGCTCATCTTTCGCACGATTTCGCGTCTCTGCGCGCTGACTGCGAGCATACATGTACTGCAACTTAAACTGCAACAGATTTTGAATACTGATTAATAGTATAGTACTTTTAACAAATCGAGTTACAATTATCCATGTAATACACAGCAACGTTAAAGCAGATCTTTGAAAAATATAATGGAAAGGCACCAAATAATGAATCTGATAGCGCAGCGATTCAAACTTATTCAATCAATAAAGTGATTAATAATGAAAAAAGATCACTCTAAGAAATTTCTTCATTTCAGTAGTTCCAAAAACATTGCAATGCCATAACTAACATAAAACCAGCTACAACATTAAATCATAACAAAAGCCATTATATGAAATAAACAAATTTACTCATCTTGATTCTTGCAATGTATACAAAACTCATGCTATTAGAAACAAAGAATCATTTCTTAAAGTATCTTGGATAAAGGCCACCAAAGTAATAAATCTCGTTGAATAATAAAAGCCTTCCAAAAGTGGAATAAATTCCGAAGCATCTTGTGCCACACGAAGTTCCTGGAGAAGTGAGTAATCTAATCTTTGAACATACGCAACATAAATATACGCTTCTAAATGCTGCTAAAGATAGGAATAGAAAATGCAAATTAGTATAAGAACAAAGGCAACGAATAGAGTTAGCGTTACATCATTATTTTTGATCACGATGACGATACATTGTGAAAATTTTTCAGCTCACAATCAAAACTAGATTTGTACGGAAAAGTTGCGCAAAGTTTTAAATTTTAGTTCCATCAATCATTTGAGTTGTTTTTTCAATTTTGAACTAGTTCAAGAAATAATTTCAAGTTGAAATTTTAACTTCCATATCATTGGAACGAAAATTTCCGTCGCTTCGCTCCAAAATATTTAAAAGTTTTTGTCCATTAGATTATTTTTTTTCAAAAGTAAAAATAATATTATATTCACAATTGTGAGACGTAACATTTTATAATTCACTCATAACAAATGCTACAGAACTGAAAAATAGAATAGTGCAAGTGTTTTTGAAATTGAAACTGAGGTAAAACTTGTGATATTTTGTGAAAAATCGCAAAATTTTATCAATGAAAACTAGTCTTAATTGAAGGAAAAATTTTAAAAATACTTCACTTTCTACTATTGTGCGTGTGCATGCATGTGTATGCGTGAGTGTGTGTGTGTTTGAATTTTTGAAAGGGAAAAAAAATCCTGTTTTTATTGCTAAAGTAAATGTATGAATTTCAAACTTTTATTTTACACTTCAAATTTGTACATTTGATATTTCAATAAAATATAAATCATTTTGTTTTTGGTAATAACTAATTTGAGCAATGATCATTAGTGTTAACAAAAAGCATTGATGATATTTTAAAAACAAATTATTTGGTTTTAATTTTTATGAATTATTTTGCTGTTAAAAAGAATTTATGATTATTGTTTATTTGTTTGAAATGAAAATAAAAGATAATTGTAATTGTAACAATAGCATTTTAATAACAATGCTATAGTAATGAATAATAATAATAGTGATAATAATAATAAGAAGAATAATAACAATAATAAGAATAAATAATATTTCGGCTATAATAATAACAAAATTTATTGCAATGTAAAACAGATGCAGCATACTTCGTTTGATTATATTGAAAAGAATAAATTGCAAATTATAGAAGTTCCACACAACAATAATAATAAGAAATAACTTTCTTTTCATATAAAAAAAGAAAAAAATCTTTGAAATACAAAAAACATTGACTTTTTTCAGATTGCATTCTTTTTTTGAATTGTTTACTTAAGAAAAGCAAACGGAAAAAATTTGCTTGTTAAAATATCAATTCTGTTTTTAAGAAAGAAGAATGATTTGAATAGGATAGTGAACTAAATTGATTAAACATTATATTATAGTTGAAATAAGTTGGTTAATCAATCATTCGATCAGTAATTCAGATCATTCTGTTGTGTTAGTAAAGTATAATTGAAAGCAAGTCATAATTTATAATGCTTGATAAGAAGTACTGAAGTAGTAGCTGTGAAGAATCCGGTTCAAACACCTCAAGGGGATAATATCCATTCTATCAATATATGGAATATATGCAAATGCAAATTTTTATAATCATCAATGATATCTCATAAATACTATTACTAGCTAATCAAATATTTTTATTCAATTGAAAGGAGGTATTTTGTAACTGTTTAACTGATTGCAGAAATAATATTATGAATATCAATCATTATTATTATCAATGATATTACTGATTTAAAACAAGTTTTACTTCGGCTGGCAAAAATTGGTGTTAAATTCTATACTGAAACACTAAGATTTCATTTTATAGAAAAAAAGTGAATTTATTCATTGAATTCTTCGATAAATATCATCAAAAATTTTCACAAATATCATATTACCAAAAATTAATATATTATAGAAAAGTAATATTACAAAAGTAACAAAAGGAATTGGCTGAAAGTTGTTTCAAGAAATATAAAATTTTGAATTAATTGTTAGCATTTGTTTGTTTAATTTATCTATTCATAATTTGTTTTGATTAGTACAGTAACAATCTCTTTGTAGAAGTTTCAATGAATTTTATTTGTAAATTTCCAAGAAATTCAAGTTTCAGCGACTGAAAATTTAAATATCAAATATTCTAAATGCTAATTTACGAAAAATGACGTAACTGCTTGCAAATCATCAAAGACTGATTTAATTAACGAATTAAATAAAGCTTAATTTTGGAAATATGAACTAAAAACGATCTACTCATTAATCGAATTTAAGAACGTCAATTTCAAGTTTATAAAATTCTTCCACCAAAAAAAGATATTGATAAATTATTCTGTCTGTTTGACCGATTTATCCATGCATTACTACTTGACAAATTTAAAAGCTGAATTTTAAAATGATAGCAATTAATGCAAAAAACATTTAATAAAAAGATAACAAGTTGAAACCACTAATTCGTTTGGTACTACAAAACAAAATTGTTAATGCAAGTTGTCAGTACAAAATAATAAATGAAATTTATTGATAACTGTGAAAAATGGAATAAAACTTGTCATTTCCAATTGACTTTTAACTTATTTTAAT